AGAGAGAGAGAGAGAGAGAGAGAGAGAGAGAGAGAGAGAGAGAGAGAGACCATACAGAATGGAATTGGACATTTATTTGGTGTTATGGATGGGAAGGAAAAAGGGAGAGGGGAGAGAGAGAGAAAGAGAAAGAGGAAGAGAGAGGGGGAGAGAGAGGCTGCCTCTCCAAGAGAGGGTACAGGAAGGAAGAGAGAGTGGGGCTGAGGCTGCAAGCAGGAAGGGAGTAAGCGTGGCTTGTCTCTTAAAGAGACAGACCATTACAGAAGAGGCAGAGGATGGCTTTTCAGATGAAGGACGGGCAGAGAGAAAGAAGTGGAGAGGAGGTGGGAGATATACCTGCCTCTGAGGGAAGGGGGAGATTGGGAGTGGGCAGGGCTTGCTTCTTAAGGGACAGGATACCTAGGTGACAGGGAAGGCCAGAAGAATTATGATGACAACATTTGGCATCCATGTTTTCCTTCCTGGAAGCTGCACACCACATTGGACCAATGAAGTTGTTGCTCTCTGTAATGGTTAACACTAATCACCAACAAGAGAAAAACCTCTGTCCATGCTGTGAGGCATTGCATTGACTATGTTATGCCCAGATCACAGAGTCCTCCACAAACCAACTAGGAGACTGAGTCCTCTATATAAAAGCAAAGTGCCTTTACTTAAGTTCCAACTTGGACTCTCCAGGTGTCCAATGTATTGGTGTGATTGGAGAGCCCCGAGTTCAGTTGGGGTGAAGTTTTTATAAAGGCAAAGGTTGGGGTGAGTGATTTCTAAGGTTGAGGACCCCTGATTGGCTGACATTTGTCTAGGTGTGTCCTAGTGAAAAGTGATGGATGTGTGCTGACAGGTAATCCTATCTACAATGGTTGGAATGTTAGGAATTTCCTTTGGATTGTCTGTTGCTGGGTGGTCTTTGTAGTCTTTCTTGGAACCAGGTATTGCCTTAGGGTAAACTAGGAGACACAGGCCTCTACTGAGCTTTTCAGGGCTGGGTCCTGTAGGTTAGGTTCCTTGAAGTGGGAAAACCTTCCCTTAAAGGAGACAGTACCCTTCCCAGGGCTGACTTACTAGATTGTACAGAAAGCAGAGAGTGAGCCGGGCATTACTCTAGGCATCCTGACTGTGGATACAATTTGACCAGTCATCTAGGGTCCTTCTGACATGAGGAACTGAACCTTCAGGCTGTGAGGGAAAGCAAATCCTTTCTCCCTTGAGTTGCCTTTGTCAGGGCACTTTATAATAGCAAGTGGGAAAGTAACTAATGCATTCTCAATAATGATTTTATTTAAGTCACAATAGATAGAGATATACAGACCCATTATATAGACTCAGTAGTGGAGGGACATTTGTGTTGACTTTTTGTAGTTCTTGTGGGGTTTCTGGGATGGAATTCAGGTCATCAGGCTTAGGGGCAAACACTCTTAACTGTTGAATCATCTCTTCAGCTCTTTCTTTCCTTTCTCTCTCCCTCCCCTCCTCTTTCCCTTTCAAAACAACAATCTATTTTTGTATCTGAGTTCTTTTCTCTCCCTGCTTCCTCACTGGAGAATTACCAACACCCAGAGCCCTCTCTTAGTTTTGCAGCCTGGGTCTCTCTCAGCCCAGTCCTGCAGGTACTGTATCTGCTAAGCTGATTCTTTTAAGGACTTGGCCTATGAAAACCATTGGTATTTTTACAATTTGAAAAGCTACATTTGCAAATCATTAAGAGGTGAACTTTACCACTTGGGCTTCTTAGGAAGTTGTTCTAGAACATTGATGTGAGAATTCTAGAACCTCAGAACCCATTATGGATTAAGAAACACTTTAAACCTGCTTAGTAAGCTATGAGGGGTTTTACAGACACCATTATGGTTCCATCTTTAGACCCTGTGTTCCCTGGATCGGGTGTGTTATCTCAGAAGCTGTTTATTTTTAGCACTGTGTGACAGTTGACATATGGGGAGGACAAATGGGATACAGATCTTTGATCTAGCAAGTCCAGGTTCTTTATTCAACGATCTTTCTTCAGCTCGGCTTGCATGTTGATTTGCTGTCAGCACTGTGTCACAAGGTCAGCCCTTCATCAGCCTTCAAGCCTTCTAGACGACCTCTTGAAGCATCAGCAGGCATCCGTTATCACCCTTGAAACCCCACGGCTTCCATCTCTTTTTAGTCCCAAGGCGTGTCACACTTAGCTTTTTTTTTAAAATTTTTAAAATTATTTTTCTTTCTGACTTGAGTATATTGCATGATGACCACTGCCACCCGCACTCTCTCTTACTCCTGCCCATTCTTCTCCCTCCCTATAAATCTCTTTCTCACAATCCTGGATATGCATTTGTTTCATGACCCAGTGTGGTTAACCAGGGCCATCTCTGTGTGACCATGAGTTGTGGTCTGGTGGGCTCAGAAGTAGATACACAACTAAAGGCAGTGATTCTCCTCCCTCTCCAGAAACTTGTTGGCTCCTTTTCAGGTTGCAGTATTTGTAATTAAAATTTCTGACTTGATTTTTATTATTTTTGGAATTATGGGATTACACAGGAGCTAACACAACGTGATTTCTGGCTGAGGTTGTAACTCAGCTTGCCTAGCTTGAGACAAGGTCGGCTTTCAAAGTACAGCGCTCCACACCCACAGATACCGCACACACATACATACACACATACATGCACACATACATGCATGCATACGCACACATGCACATGCAAAGAATGCATCATAGTCACATTTAATAAGTTGATTCTGAAATTCATTGTCGCACTTTCCCAAAACCCATTGCCCTCCTGTGTCCCTTCACTCCTTTCTGCTGATATCTTATTTTCCTCAGTGCCTTTTTTTCAGAATGTGTATTCTGTTTCTGGCATGCTTAGAGATACTGAGTCATGAGAGTGACCTGACTAGTCTTCAAGTTCCCAGTAGTCCCTTGTATTTTGATTTGTAAAAATCCACCTTTGTAATTGGTTTCAGCTGGAGGCTGCACCCAAAGGAGAGCAGGGAAGAAAAGGGAGGATGTGGTGCAATGTGGAGTCAGGCAGAGCTGACGAAGCTCACATCTGAGCTCTCGAAAATGAGAATGCAAGAAGATTCTCGTAAAATGGAAGTGGAAAAATTCAAGGAATTGTATCTAAAGAAACTAAGAAGTAATAATGCCCTATTCTCACATCTTCTAAGTAGGCAAAGGGAGAAAGAAATGCTGAAAACAAACCCATCTCAAGACCTTGTCACTAAAGCCTAGCTCTTAGTGAACTGGGTTCCTGGCTTTGTTGATTGGGAAAGCAAGTAGATCCTGTAATTCTGGGAATTCATGTTGGCAAATGGACTGACTTTGAAATGTTAATCCAGGACACTTTTTACTCTTCTGTTCTTCATTATATATCTGTTTTCCCCCTTAGTATTCTCAGCTAGTTGGATTAATCTAATGACTTTTAGATGTTTATGAAACTCTCTAGTTACCACAATTATTATTATAGCTTGTTTTTATAAATATAAATATTAAAAGCTTAACTATTTTTGGAGGGTTATAACCTAAACCAAGCTGTCAAGTGTTGCTGATACTACTCCCCTGGGCATTTTCTGGCATTGATAACTGAACTTTTCTGTGGTTCAGTCTCACCACTAGAGGGAGACACAGAGTTGCTACCCTTCAGCGTTTTTTTTTCTATCCCAGAATGCATTGTTGGGATACAGGAACGAAGCAATCCTGAGGGGCAGGGAAGTGGAAGTCTCAGCTGGTTAGACTAATTCCTTGTTCTGTGTGGGCGGGAGTGTATGGCCGACAGAAAATGCCGCTCTGCCTCGCCACCTTGGTAAGGATGTTCTGAGCTAACTGGTTGGGCTGTTTCAGTTTCTTGTTCTATCTGTGTCTTGGCCTCCTTAGACGCTGAAGTCCTTCCTCCTCAAGGGCAAAGGTTCGATTTCTTCCTATGGGAGCAATGGGCAGAGAGCAAAGGAGAATATTTTAGGGTGTCTGTGCCCACCTTCACTCCC